TCTAGCTTCGCGGTCTCTTTCTCTCTCATTTGGATGCACGTCTTGCCGCATTGTTTCTTTGTTATAACCTCATTATTTCTCACTAATAACCTAACTGAAGCAGCACATGCCCTTGATACGAATTCTAAAAGTGACGTATGTTTAACTGTCAACTTGAGCTTTGAATCCGTGGCGGAAGGAAGTAGTTCCGCACAAAAGAAGGTTTTATTAGGCACTCCGTTGTTTCTTGTTTAATTACACACGTTTCCTTCGAACTGTTGTATAAACGCAATATCACTCTCGTACTCGAGTGATATTGCTCATGTATCTTGCTTTTGTTTAAATAGGGTATTTATACCCTATTTAAACAAAAGCAAGATACTTCATAATACCGTATTTTATATTGGGTGAGGGACGTTCTTGTTCTAAAGAGTGTTTTATTGGACTTTTGACCTTGTGAACAAGATGATTCATCACATTTTTTTTTTTCAACATCCCATAAGAACTTTTTAAAATCAACTTCATAGAGTACATTAGTATTTGCAAACGTCACATTACCAGACAAACATTTATGAAAATGTTACAAAAAATGTAGATTTTTTCATTTTGAGCTTTGCCACTTTTCATGGTCTTTATTTATTCATATAAGGAGCATCTGTTTGTACAGTAAATGCCATCTTTTTAGTACTTTCACTAGTTTTTGTTATTTAATTGAAAAGTTTTACCACAATGACTGTTCATGGTGTTTCAAAACAAGTGTAAAACTCAAAATACATCTTCATTTTAGGTCCCACTGCGGTGATGAAGATGAACCATCTCCCAAGAGGATCAAATCTGAAGTAAGTTCTGTAGATTCAGTTCATATTCATAAACCTCGCTGCGACAAATTGCTTTATTTGCATGAGACGCCTCAGCTTTGCAATCATTTCGAGCTCCAGGTGGTTTCTCGGGACTTCTTTATTAGTTTTGCATTCCTGTCTTGATATTTATTGCCAGGCGCCTTCCCATTGTGTCTGAATTAGCGCTGTGTTTGTGTGTGCACTCTCTCTGTTAATAATCTCAGGAGAATAATTACTGTCATGATTCACTCTGAAATGTCGCGTTCACACAGCTTTTCCCATGAGCGACAGTCTGCGCCTCTGGGTGAACATCTAAAAGTAAATGATATTGTTATTTTCGTAGCTCCGTGGGGCCTCGAAGTCAACAAAACCGATGCAAACAAAGCTCTCAAGACGTCAAATTAAAACTCTGTGATCTGTTTTAGCTGGCTTTAAAAAGCTTGTTTTTAACGGAAGTTGTTTTTGTGGGGTTCTCTGGATAAAGAAAAGCTTAGTACACAAACGCGCAATCATTCATCTGCACAGGCGGAGAAGTACACAGTGGACTGAAAGACATAATTGACATCATCCTGTGGGTGCTTACTGAATTACCCACGCATGGCTGTGGCTGTCTCTGCCTGAGTCTAACGTCATACATGGACACACAAGCACGCACACACACACACACACACACACACACACACATATATATATATATATATATATTAAAACGTATAAAACTATTGTAAGTTAAAATTTTTTACTGTCTCTCTCTCTCTCTCTCTCTCTCTCTCACACACAAGCGCGCACACACACACACACACACACACACACACACATGTGATGACCTAAGAGGAAAATGCGGAGGTTGTCAAGGGGCGACACGAAGTGTAAATTCATTCAAAGGTGACAACGGCTGATCTGTTAGAATAACAACAAATATACTGATTAGAAACAAACAAGAACATTGCCATGGCAGAGAAAGTATGTTTATGTAAAAGTGTTTTTAAGTTTTTACCATGATTAAGTAAAAAGGACCACATAATACTGTACATTTAAGAACTCAAAAAGTAGCTAAAATTATTCTAATACTAAACTTAAATGTAAAAAAAAGTACTATAATTAAGCTTAGCTTCACTATGACTATATATTTGACTTTTATTGTTTAAAAATGATTTTATATATAATTTACTTAAAAATTTATCATTCTTCTGAATTTTATGCATATATGACCTATAAAGTAATTATTGTTTTAATACTAAATTTATATTTAAACAGAAAAAAATATATATTTCTGAACAAAAGATGTAAACTGAAAACAAAACAAAAAAGATATAAACTGAACTGTACTTATATTTGGGGTCAGTGGGTTTTATGGTTTTAAATTGATTTAAATGGTTTAAAATGGTTTCATGAACAATTACAAAAATTGTTCTTCAGGATTTTATGCATCCAAATAAAAATAGTATAAGTATTGGTTTAAAATTACATTTAAATTTGAAACTAAAATACTTTATTTATTTAGCTTTACTGGATCTTTTATATTTGAGATCAATGAGCTTTGTGGTCTTAAAATTGTTTTAAGAACAGTTTACACAAAAAAAAATTTCTTTAGGATTTTATGCATTCAAAACTCAAAAAATAAATATTATTTGAATAATAAAATTAAATGTAACAATAATATACTACATATTCTTTAGCTTTATTATAACTCTTATATTTCAGATAATATTTGAACTGTATGTATTCATACAACTAATGTATATACATTATTGCATTATGCAAGGAACAATTTACCAAGCATTCACCCTTTGCTTGCGTTATTGTGTTTTTCTGGGTTGGGGGGAAATGATCATCATTTGAGTGACATTATAAGTGGATTTTAATAAAAAATAAACATTTTGCAACGTTAAAACAAAGTTTTAAAACTTTTTTTAAAAGGAGCTTTGAAAGCTTATTTCAAAAGTGATTGAATTTCATTTTTTAAACAGTGTTTAAAATGTTTGTTTTAAAGTTGCTTGAACTGCAGTATGTTTGGAAACAATGTTCAGTTGAATGTTTTAAGTTTTGTTTGAAAGTTAGTTTCAAAGTTATTTGAACTTTGCTTAAAACATTCTTTTGAATAAATGTTTGAAATGCTTGTTTGAACATCTGTTTCTCAGAATCAGAATCAGAATCAGAAAGAGCTTTATTGCCAAGTATGTTTGCACATACAAGGAATTTGTTATAGTGTCACAAGCTTCCAGTACACGGAGACAACAACAACACACAGATAATAAAAATGAGATGTGAATAA